AATCTCAGAGGAGTTAAAGCAGGGGTGTCGTCACCTACGCATGCGTCAGGTGGCCATAGCGTGTCATTGTTTACAAACAAGCGTCTACTCAAGCTGAGTAGAATGAGCTACGTCTGTGCTTTTTAATCATAGAAATGTAGGGTGGTGATACATTTGGCGTAAAGGTATTCAAAAAATCAGTTTTGGGCTGGAAACTGTGGTCATAATTTGTTTTCAGATTTTACAAATAGTAACTTTGTGCTCACACTCAAGCTGAGTAGAATGAGCTATTTCTGAGGTGTTGTATCCTAAATTTGTAGCAGGACATTTAGCGCGAAGCTATCCAAAAATCTTTTTTTTTTTGTTGCTATGGCAACAGTGGGTGAAGGTGTGACCTACATGTACCTGCTAAGTTTGAGCAAAATCGGCCAAGCCAAAAACACACAGAAGAATTTATACGTGAAAACACTGGAAGACACACAAAAGTGATTTTAATGGCAATCGTAGTGAAGCGGATCGCCAATACCATGTTCATTTGCATATTGATCATGAAAATACCAAAAAGATTATTGCATTGGTGGTCAAAATAAGTGACTGCCTAGAAGTTCCATTACTGTTGTTCAAATTTCATTTCACTCGGCAATTATATTCATGTACCCATAGGGTAAAATACCGTAGTTCTAAATATTGTTTATTTCTGCGATGTTTCGAAAAACGCTACTCTTGAAAAGACTACTTTGTTTGCTCCCAGACCTCATTTGAATATGGGGTGTGGTGATACCGATTTTGATTTCAGGGACGAATCAAAATAAACTGCAGTACATATGTAATAATGTGGAATACATTTTCAATATAAACATTTTTCCGCTAAAATAAATTCCAGTGAAAATTTCCCTCAAACTCTATTGAGAATTGACACGGCACAGTGAAAATTGGATTCACACGTAATGTTTGAAAACTTCATCGAAACTAAATTAAGTGAAATTCTATGTGACTTTGTGAGAGTTGGAAATGAACAAATTATATAAAACCCAACCCTACCACTCTATACACAACGTAAACTACACCCCAAAACATCCTTTCATCAGTGTATTCTATATGACTTCAGGAGAAATTGAAATAAACAAATTATATGACAACGAACTTAATTATAATTTAAGCCTCTAGTTCAGCACTGATGAAATAAACTACCTCGTCTTTATGCCAATTTGAAGTTATTCATCGCCTACATCAGTGACTTCAAAATCTATGTTTCAATCTCAGGAATTTCACTTGCTATTAATTGTATGGGAGTGCCAGTCTTTTATTTTCTATTGTAATGTCAATTTCTTGCGATTACTCGGAACATGAAGCTGTAACCACAGACCATCTAGATGCTGTAACTAAATCCTGGTATAAGCACCGGTTAGGCAGGCTTGAACTATGTATTTGAAGCCAGCCGAGAGATAAATCCAATCTTATAGATTTCTCATTGTTTGGTAACTATTTGCTGCAAATGCTGCAAAAAATCAATATAAAAATATTATCCACACAGCATTCTTCAGGTTACTTGTTTTAATTAGATTAATTATAATAGAAAGGTAAGTACAGGAAAGCTAATAAGTGGCCATTGGTTTACATGATAAACTGAATTTTTGTAACTCGCATAATTCAAACCTAAGCAAGGTTTTTTTTGTAAACCAACGTAAAACGTTTTTGTTAAACTAAAGTTTAAATTTCAGCAGTGACGAAAACCTTAAAATTGTCAGACTCATCAAGTACTGTAAAGGAGTTAACTATTCACTTGGTTTTAATTTTGCTTATTCCACTGACTGGAAAATGAGCCAAATTAAAACCCAGTGAATATGTAAAATTTAGCATAGAACACATTATCCAAAGTACAAAACCATGAATTTAAAACCCACTGAATGGGCCCAAGATGCTAAATCAGCGAAATTTAAACCCAGTGAAAAATAATCATTTTGCAGTAGTTATGTTGAGCCATGCACAGTCCTGAATGGAATTCACATAAATGCGGGTATACGCTTAGTCATTTGATCATGGATGATACAATGCATACCAGGTGACATTGAAATGCGTGTAATTTGCCGAGAACCACTGGAATTTTGTAACTCGGCCAATAATGGCTCTACCTGCTGTGGTTGATGTTGTTTTCAAACTCAGCTTAGGTCAAATTTTCCAATCGTTAAAGAACTTTATCTTCTTGTCAACTTGCAGACTCCTTGTCAACACGGAGATGTGATTTACAATTTTATTATGTTGCGAAAACCATGCTTGTTTAAAGCTGGGGAGTCATCACCTGCGCATGCGTCAGATGGCCATAGCATGTCATTGTTTACAAACAAGCGTCTACCCATGAGCCTTTGCGTTTTTAGCGTGTGTTGTTATCGTCGTTTGGGACTCAATTTCAGCGTGTGCACAGGTGACAACCTCCCCGCTTTAAAAGTTTATATATCAATCACACTCTGCATATGAATACAAACATAGCTGTTTACAATCTGCTTAATATAAGGCAGAGATGATTGCGGATTTCTTCGGAACAATGACCAAGAATCGTATCCATTGTCATGATTTGATACTCCGAGAGATTTTGTGTGAATAAAATTCCCAAAAAGTCACTGTGACTGCCTAGAACTATAGTGAAAGTCACCGTGACTTCATTAGGACCGCACCGAAAGTTAGTTGAGACTCCCTAGAACCACAATGAAAGTCACTGACTCCCTTGGACCACAGAAAAAGTCAGTGTGAGTCACTGTCTTAAACATCCCAAATGAAATGTACACTACTACAAAATGTGCATTTTTTTTTGAGTAGTTAAATTAGTTTTTCAGGAAATTTGTGAGGAGAAAATAAATCCCAAATGATAGAGTATTTCACCTCACTTTAGAGCAATAGATTTACACCAGCGAGAGGAGTATCTCATAAAAAGTGTATCAGACATTTGAAATTCAAATAAAAATTAAAACATGACAACATGTAGAGACAATCACATCTGCTTCAATCCTAAAATCGCAAAATTTAATAGAATAATTCTAAACTTTGATTTTTAAATCGCAGCAGAGTAGGTTTAATGGGTATCAATTTGTTTTTATTATGAATTATTTAAATAGTTTATAAATAATAAATTTACAATGTTATTAATTATTTATATATGCTATGTAAAACGTGCCATAAAATCAAACTAGATCGTAAAAACAGCGGACAGTGTCTTGTCATATTTATTCAGCCTGCACTCTACAACTGGCCACTTTGGAATTTGGCTTAATTCTTTAACACCAATCAACTTCAGCCACAGTCTACAAAAGAATTCAGTTCATAGTCTTCTTTTTTCCCAAATAAAATATTGATAAAAATTTAAAGTTAATTATCTGATCCAAACCTCTGTCAATCACTATTTTTATTTCATGACAATACTGCCATTTAAAAAAAAAAATATTTTTAATTCTTCTGCAGTTCAGAAATTTCTATTTTTGGTAAATATCAAAATAATGTTTTTTGAGGATAAATGAAGTAGATGAAAAAAAAAATTAATCCTAAGATAGATAACAAAATTTGCTAGATGAAGAATTTATATACATTCTTCCTTGCATTTTGAGTGGAGCTCATTGAATAATACATTAACCAATTGCCCTAATAACAAAATAAATCTATTTGGTAATAAAGCATTGTTGATTGTTATTTTCACACTGGATTGACTTATTGAAGCTAAGCTCAAAACAGCCTACCGATCCTAAACGTAGAACATACATTGTTCAAAATTAATATCTCATTATCCATCCATACTAAATATTATTAAATGTTTAATATGATTATTATTATTGCCTTTCTACCTATAACTCGCATCACATTGAGAATGCATGTGTAGCCAAATAAATTTTCCATGTCAGAGATGCTTTGCAACACATAGTATATACATGTAACTAATTAAATAGAATAGGGTACTCTGAAAAAAATAATTGTTGAATAGAATAGGGTACTCTGAAAAAAATAATTGTTGAGTTTAGAGATGTTCTGCAACATTCAATGTCAACTTTAGGGATGTTCTACAACATTCAATGTCAACTTTAGGGATGCCCTGCAACAATCAATGTTGAGTTTAGGGAATCCCAGATACTCTGCAACATTCATTGTTGACTTTAGGGCTACACTGCAACATTCAATGTTGTTGACTTTAGGGCTACACTGCAACATTCAATGTCAACTTTAGGGATGCTCGGCAACATTAAATGTCAAGTTTAGCGTTTCTCTGCAACATTCAATGTTGACTTTAGGGATGTTCTACAACATGCAATGTCAACTTTAGGGATGCCCTGCAACAATCAATGTTGAGTTTAGGGAATCCCAGATGCTCTGCAACATTCATTGTTGACTTTAGGGCTACACTGCAACATTAAATGTTGAGTTTAGGGATGTTCTACAACATTCAATGTCAACTTTAGTGATGTTCTGCAACATTCAATGTTGAGTTTAGGGATGTTCTGCAACATTTAATGTCAACTTTAGGGATGTTCTGCAACATTCAATGTTGAGTTTAGGGTGTATATAGAGGAGATTCATTGGGTTTGTGTGAATATTTTAAAACTTTTTTCTAATCAATTTTAGTTTTAAAAAGACAAACAAACAAACTGGGTAAATTAAAATTCTGTATCCTTTCCTCACAACATACAATGTTTATACGATTAGATTGTGTCTGATAATATGGTTGGTTAGGGGGCTTTGCAAAATGTGTACATGAATTAATTGTGAAGTTGGGGATTCTTAGCAACCCAAGAAGTGGTTGAGCAGGTAGAGATAATCTGTTACATGCAGATAATGATTATGAGGTTAGGTGGGCTCTTTAACAAGATGCTCTGCAACATAGAAGTAATTGTCATGAGGTTAGGGATGCTCTATGACATTCAGGTTGTTTGACATTTACAGACATGTGGTTTTTACAACTTAATGGAAGTAGTGATCTTTTAGTGAGATGTCTTTCAGTTTGACATTAGACCTTACTTACCATTTGTTTTGTTTTGTTTTAGGAGAATCCTGAAGATGAGAAGTTTCTGCAATTTTGTAAAATCTGTGAGGGTTACAAAGCGCCAAGATCTCATCACTGCAGAAAATGTGGAAGGTACTGTAAACATTTTTGACATCTTTAAGAGGCATTCTCAATTTGTCAAAGCTCAGCGAAAATGAAAAGTATTACATTTGGAATAAATTTGATTGTTTCATTTTCAAAAACAAGGACTTGTTGTTTTTTTGGATGAAGCTTTTGTTGTTTATTAAAAGCAAGTGTATTAATAATTTCTACAATATGGTCAGGCGAAGAATATGCGGTTTGTATTTTGAACCTTATCAACTTTCTAAAAATCTGAAAATAATACCAATGACATTCATAAACAAGATCTACATGTAATATAAGGTCTTGTGTTCGTCATTTACATGTACATGTGTAGTAGGTGTGTACCAAGTTCCATTGCAATCCAACTATTGGTTCTTGAGATATCTGTGAAACATATTTGACAGATGCACAAACATAAATGGACGCACAGGCAGGCGAGTAGGCGGACAGATGGACAACAATACAACATTACCCTCCTGTTTAGGAGCCAAAAATTCAAAGATTCTGCTTCTTTCATATAAAAAATGGAAGGGATGGGATGGGATGGGGAGGGGAGGTACCTGGGTCTACTTCAAATAAGTTTTTCTGTGAACATTGGCAATACAGCTGACAATGTAATCTGTTGGGTTTCCACTGCATTACTCATGCATGAGTGCATTATAGTTAGACAACAAACTGTCGTTAATATTATCTCAGATTAGATGTAATGTTACACTATGTCTGTTACGCTGTTTTAACTTGCCTGTAATCAGAAACTGAAAAGTGTGTGTCTATAATCATTATTGAAATGAAAGACTGTAGCAACTGACATGTAGTCTGTAAGTGCTACAGGATCATGATATACCGGTAGTACATACAAAGTTCCATTGCAATCCAACCATCACACAGACGCACAAACACAAATGAACGGATGGACACTGATACAACACTACCTCCTGTTGTTTTGGAGCCAAAAATTCAAAGTTGTGCTGCTTTCATGTAAGAGGAGCGGAAGGTACTGTTAATTAGAGTTGCTTCAATCTCAGCAAACTTGGGTAATACTTAGAGAATCCTGACGACAATGTTGTCTGTTGAGTTTCCACTACGTCGCCCTATGTACGAGTACATAATAGTTAGACAACAAACTGTCGTTGAATATTATCCCACACTCCAAATTGAATTACTCAAATTGCATGTAATGATATACGGTGCCTGATAGTGTTTTTAACTTGCCTGTAATCAGGGTTATACCCAGAAATGATAAGTACCCGTCTAAAATTATTACTGAAATGAAAGTCAGTAGTCTTTAGCCATTAATAAGTAATCTATTTTTGTTGATAATTCATTGCTATTTTAAGTTAATGAAATGTTCAATCAAAAGTTGACATGTTAGATATATTAATTTTCTAAATTAATAAGGAGTATCTAAAATGATAGACAGGTCGCTGACTAAATGAAAGGGAAAGTGTAGTGGCTATCATGTCTGTTGTTGTAGTCAACATTGTCAATTACTTGTGGCCAATTTATCACAGGCAAGGTTGTCCATAGATTATATCATGTTTTTTTACTCACAGACATGTTTCCCACCTTATAGTGTATATTTGTATTTTTATTTGATTTTTTTGGGTACCTTTGAAACTGTCCATTGTCTACAGGTCAATATCAGAAATTGTAAAACAATATTAATGAATGAAATTAATAAATAAATTAATTAAATTATCAATTATAATCTTATGTTTCTATAGAAATATTTCATTCAAATTTTACTACTTCAACTTTTCTGTTTTTCCACTGATTACAGGTGCGTGATGAAGATGGATCACCACTGTCCGTGGATTAACACGTGTTGTGGGCACACCAACCATACAAGATTTATATATTTTCTATTTTTTGCACCAGCTGGGTGTATACATGGTGCTGTAATTTTCATCATTACTATCTATCATCAGCTATATAGGGTAAGTAGAATTGTGCATATTAATCATCTAATTTGCATATAGATTTATTCATTGTGAGGAATAGTTGTTGCTCTGAGAAATTTAGTAGACCTGATTAGGTTTATTGTGAACTTTGTGATTATTGTCTGTCATTAGCTATATACAAATATACAGTGAATAGGAGTTGCAATATTGTACAGGTTCTGTGCATATTAATTACCTAATTTGCATAACAATGTATTCATTTGAGAAAATTAGCATTAGGTTTTTTGTGAACTCTGTCATTATTGTCTGTCATTAGCTATATACAAATATAGAGTGAATAGGAGTTGCAATGTTGCACAATTCCTGTGCATATTAATTACCTAATTTGCATAACAATGTATTCATTTGAGAAAATTAGCATTAGGTTTATTAGGTTTTTTGTGAACTTTGTCATTATTGTCTGTCATTTGCTATATCCAAATATAGAGTGAATAGAAGTCGCAATGTTACACAAGTCCTGTGCATATTAATTACCTAATTTGCATAACAATGTATTCATTTGAGAAAATTAGCATTAGGTTTTTTTGTGAACTCTGTCATTATTGTCTGTCATTAGCTATATACAAATATAGAGTGAATAGGAGTCGCAATGTTACACAAGTCCTGTGCATATTAATTACCTAATTTGCATAACAATGTATTCATTTGAGAAAATTAGCATTAGGTTTTTTCTGAACTCTGTCATTATTGTCTGTCATTAGCTATATACAAATATAGAGTGAATAGGAGTTGCAATGTTGCACAATTCCTGTGCATATTAATTACCTAATTTGCATAACAGTGTATTCATTTGAGAAAATTAGCATTAGGTTAATTAGGTTTTTTGTGAACTTTGTCATTATTGTCTGTCATTTGCTATATCCAAATATAGTGAATAAGAGTTGCAATGTTACACAAGTCCTGTGCATATTATGACATATTGTTTATTTACAGTAATAGTTGGTACATAGTGCTCAGGAATAATATGCTGACCTGATCAGGTTTTGGTTGAAAACCATATTAATTATTCAATTTGCATAGTGATTAAGAAAGTTGTTGTTCTTCCACAGATATCTTAACCTTTTCACCCCAGTTTTCTCTTATCATCACAAAACAGTCCCATTTATAGTTTGGAAAAACAAAACAAGTTTTTTGAGTAGAAACTGAAAATTGACTTAAATTTTTGTCTGTTTGCAAAATTAGAGTTCATTTCCAGAAATATTGAAAAATATAAGAAAAAAGTGCAGAAAAATTTCTAGTGGAGAAAAGGTTAAAGTACTTGGTCAGTACAATCAGCTGGTGCTGACAGTATCAACACACATCTCTGAATTTCAGTATTAAGCTTCATTCAAATAATAGAATGTCTAATACAAATGAAAAAATCTAAATGGTTGTATGAAAAAAAAAATTACCGAATTTCAAATATATTTTGGTGAGAATGTCAAATTTGGGCAAAATGTTTGACTAGTAAAATCAATCTGCAATTTTCTTGTGTGTACAGGTTATGCCGGTACTTATATTGCATACGTCGCAATATAGGAACATACTCTATTGATATTTGGTCGTTTTCCATCACAGAAATCACAAAAAAAAAGTAGAAATTTGAACAAAAATCTTTATTTTTAAATGTGCTATATACAAGAAAGTCACCAATCGAAAAACATAAACCAAACATTGCTATATACCGGGGTAACTCAGATTTAGTACTAATACTACACAAATATGTTAACATAATTAGACTATTAATATTTAGCGTTTACTCGAAAAACTGTTTCAAAAATGAATACTAGTATGTTGCAATCTTGAATGCAGAGACCTGTCGTCCCAAGAGATTCTAAAGATAAATGCAAGTTACTATGAAATATTGATAACAATTCTGTAAGGACCGTGTTTTTTTAGCTTTAGTATTCATAGTTTATTATTGACTTCAATGCAATATTTCACATGAGAATGAATTAAATACGATCTGATCTATTGTATCATCATGGAATTCGGGTAGTATTCGGTTGCTGTTCGAATCACACACGATATCACAGTGATGTGATAATTTGGGACTAGATACCAACAATAACTTGTATGATGCAGTTATATAACACCTATTTGTAATGCTAGTTGATACACATGGAATCATGGGCTATTATTACCCTCTTGCCTTTGGTGGGTGGATATTACCAACCTATGATGTTACTTAGAACAACCGACTCCTTGAGCAAGTCATAACCTCATAGTATATTACACTAAAAATATTTCTGTTGCATTTTTTTAAACACTGATTATTCAGTTTTAACTGATGTTCATTGACCCTTGTTTTGAGTGACAAAAGTAGCGCTACTAAAACATCAGTACGTCTCAAATGTATAAATGATTTGTGTATGTCCATTATGCTGCCATCATTGTTACATAATGAAACTAAAATCAATGAGGTTCCTAAGGGTTGTTTCCATGGAAGCTAGTTTTGTGATTTTTTTTTTTAGCACCATCTTTGCTAGCCATTTTGAATTTTAAAAGTTCAATATCTACACTTATTTTGTGTAGATATTCAAATTGTGATGAATAATCTTCAGAGAGTTGTGGTTGAAATATAAAATCTTGAAATGAGCCTTTGTTGTTTTCACATTTATTACTTTGCTCAGATTTATGTTCTATAATTTTACAAATACAGTATTAGCTTTATTAGAAGTACATCTCCATTAGAAGCGCATATACTAACAGATATTGGTGGGTAAAAAGTTTGGTAAATGCCATCTGCGAATAAACTTCATTTCAAAATGTTTTATTTTTTCTTCTTTTCTCCAAAATGATGAATAGTTTGATGTTTTATTGGAGTAGTCTTGAGAGTATTTTGTCTACTGTAAACCAAACTTAGTTCATAACCATGCTATATAATTCTTGTATGTATTAGTAATGGATAAAACAAATAAGTATGCAAATTAGCTGCCAGGTGATGAGGGTGAGTTCTTATGGTGGTGATAATATTTCCCAGCGATTCACAACATTTTTAGCACCTCTATAAATTATAAATTTGAGGTAAATTTGACTTTGCAAATCATATTTTTGAATAATAAATATAGCAGACTCTGTAGAAATATAAAAAGGTCAAAAATAGTAAACCAATAAAAAAGTTGAAGTTTTAGAGAAATCAATGTCAAATGGTACAAATCTTAGAGAATTCTGGGTAATTTATAGTGCTGTGCCTCCAGGGTCAGGTTACTGTATTTCACTGATCATATTTTGTGCATGGCTGTGTTTGTGTTCCTGAAATTGTAGTTTCTTCCATTTGACTTTCCACTGTTTGATTTATGGTTGGGAATGTTATTCCACCTGATTCATATGGTTTGAAAAAAAAAATACAAATCACTGACCATTTCTTGTATCTTTTTATGGAATAAATAAAAAATGGCCACCAAGGGTTAATAATAGTCACTTTGACAACACTGGGGACTATTTTCTTTTTTGAGCATGGAAGGATACACACAGTTGTGCAGCATTGTTGTGTATGAATACATCCAGTCTTGGTGTCTTGAAAGAATATAAATGCGAATTTTCTTGTTTTGTTTTCAGAGTCGTTATTTGTACCATGTGATGTCGGCCAAAGCCTGGTTAACGTTTACAGTGTATTCTTTTATATTGACTTTCTTTGCATTGGGCCTTGCTATAGGCGTTACCTTGTCTGTAGGTTTTCTCTTCTTTGCCCAGGTAAGTATCCACCTGGTATTCACACCTGACCATGGTGCCCTATCATTCACAGTAGTGTTTAGTGTCAAATATTACTAACTCATATTTCACACTAAACATAGCTTATATGCGCGGTAAATGTCATCAGTCTGAAAAAAATATTGCTACGAAGGGCAATATTTCCGTTGATTTAAAAAAGCGATGTCGGTCGTAACTGCATATGTGGGTTCACCGACACACTTAGACGTCATGGCAAATTTGCATAAATTAGCACATCATTCGTAAGCATAGTTCCATAAAATCATGATTTTTCTGTTGTTGGAATTGTCATATTCGTAGAGCTGCTAATACTCAGAGGGGGGGGGGACTACATAAGCTGTACTATCCACACTCACCTTAATATGGTTTAATGATGTCACTCGTATCAGCAACTCTGCGAACGTCATATCAGGAGATAACATTACATGTATGTCCTGTTAGGTAAAGCTTAACATATTACATAAGACATCTCAGGAATATCTATGAATGATTTAATTATTTTTCCTCATGTATCCGTTTCATAGTTTTTAAATGTATCTAAGATTTAGGTCTTTTTAGAGCTGCAGTTTGAAAACTGTTTCTTTTGAACATTGTAAAATTGTGTCATCTCATGTGACAGTGGATTGACCAATCAGATCACAGAAATTGGATATGGTGTGTTATAGTTGTGTTATGATACTAATGAGAGCATAGACTGAGTATGAATAGGGTTAATACATTTCAGTAACTGTATATTGTCTTTTCCCCTCTTTGATTTTAGCTACAAAGTATATGGTACAACGAGACTGGGATTGAAACCTGGATTAAAGAGAAGGTAATATTGTAAAATCCTTTATTTTCACTGCCATTTAATTTCACTATTTCGATGTCTTGAGTAAATGCACTGTGTTTTAAATTCACAAATTTGGCTGGGAAACAATGAATTCTATTGTTATTTTTGATTCGTGTTCACATGGATTTAATTTAGCAGATTTTATACTTACCTGCGAAATAGGCGAAATTAAAAACCAGCAAATAATTGATGCTTGTACAGTAAATAGTGGATATCACAAAATGATACGAGTGACCTGTTACAATCTCACCTGCTCAGAACGAAAAATTCATTTTTTTGAAATCTGGATTCTAGAAAGTGACAGTAGTGCTACATTTCTAATGTTTATGTAATTTGAGTAACTATGTGCAATTTCCACTTGAAAACAAACACTTGAAAAAAAACATCATTTTAGGCGTTTGTTGCAATGGAAAATTTGAAAAAAAGTTCACATATTAATTTTGCTACTTACACATGTTTATTTTAGACAACACATGCAATCATTTATACCTGTGAATACGCACTCTACTCCTCATTTCCCTCTTTTACTTTTTATTCACAATGTACAAACTCATTAAAATATTGCATGACACAAACATTTGTTTTATCTGATGAATCTATCTGCTATAAACTGTGTTTCTTTGTATGCAGGCGGATAGGCCTAGAGATGATGAGTTTATTTATCCCTATGATCTTGGTCGCAAACGTAATTTATTGGAGATATTCCGATGGGAAGGCACGCCACGTGGGGATGGAATAACATGGCCAGTAGTGAATGGATGCAATCAGTACACTTTGACAGTGAGTATTACAGTAAATTTTCATTTTTGCATTATTTAATCATTTTTGGAGCAATATTTTGTATATTATTTAATATTCTGTAATTTCTTTAATTTTAGAATAAGTGGACATCATTTAGCATTGGCTACATCTTTTGTTAAGTTTATTTCGTGAAAGGTGAAATTCATACTGGCTTTAAATGGTCAAGATGTCAGTATGCGTGCAATTTTGTGAAAATAAAATTGACTCCACAAAAACAGCAATGAAATGTTTACTGTTGTGAAATTTTCCCTCATGTAATTGAAGTGAATTCCCTTGTATTTTTTCCTTGTAGAATTCAAAGTGAATTTCATGAATTATGGAAAATGTTTTTTAGACAGGACGTCTGCATCATCACATTATGTTAACTGCTGTCAAACTGTAAACACCAATTTTTGCCATCCAGCAAAACAGATTTTGCAAGTGATTATAAACTTTAATACAACTTTTAACATGTACCAAATATTATATTTGTTCACAGATTGAACAACTACAACAGAAAGAAGAGAAAAGGAACCGCACTGTGAGTGATCATCTTCATTAGACCAATAAAAAAAAAAAAGTAAATCCGTTTCTGGTTGAGCATCTTCACTAGCCAAGGTCTAAGTTTATTCCAAGCCTCTAAACAGACCTTGGCAGAATGACCATCAAATATGCGTATTCTAACAGCGCCCCCAGTAGTTAGTTGTGGCTAATCATTGTCCAATCAGTTTGCGTGTTACAAATCCCTCTTTGGCGTTTCATTTTAAACAAAATGGCGGCGCCCATGAATCGTGATATTTGTGATGATAAAATTGCGAAAGTTTTCGGTGTTGGTGCTCTCAAGCCTCATCAGGTACAGGCAATCGATGCAGTTTTATGTGGGAAGGATGTCTTCATAGCGACAAAAACAGGAAGTGGAATTTTGTTTCATAATTTGGTAAGCCAAGCTGATTGGGCGCCTTGTTTTAAGATACGCAATTAGCCTATGCGATCCCGCACGGTATCGTGTGGAGGCCTATAGATCGAAGACACAGGACTGTGCGATTTGGACGATGCTGTTTGAGAAGGATGTCAGTTCCAAAAGTTTTTTTTATCTGAATGAAAGGAAAAAAGGAGGGCGGAATGTGCCTGTCTTCACCCATGTTCAGATACACTTACTTGCTGTCTGTTTACAAAATAAAATATTTATTTTGTGGCTCCAATCTTGAAGCATTTTAACAATCAATTGTATTTGTTGGATGCTGAATCATTTTTTTGGTCATAGACACACTGCTGTTATTTGTGTAAGCGTATGCACTGTTAATATCGTAAAATCTGTATTAGAAACCGCATCCTTAATAGAAGTCGCACCCATTCTTTTTGAACAATTGAGAACCAAAAATCACCATTTCTCATATGTGTAGATGTTCTGATAGAATCCCCTCTGTTGCATTGTACCATTTTAATAGAAACTGCGGCTTCTAATACAGATTTTACAGTAGAGCAAATACAGTAATTGAGAACGGGAAAACAACAAATGGTGAACATTTCCTGTACACATAATGTACTTTTTACAAATTCATCTTGAGGTTTTTAGTGAAGTTTAGTAGATTTTTAGTTGGTATCGCACAATTCTTTGTCATGTTTTTTTTAAATGAAATACTAAGAATTAGTCAGTTATTAATTCCAGCAAAACTATATCAATAAAATATTTGGTCCTGGATGCAATACCTTTAATATTAAAATGGCTGCCAATCAGCCATTATAATTATAAAGGATTGTAAAATAAAATGATGCACATGTATATGAACAGATTGTTTATTTTCTTACAACCTGTTTTTTTTTTTTCACTCGCATTTCAGATGGAGTTGACCATCTCTGAAAATTACAGTGGTTCAGTGTTCCCCATCACTAAAGGTTGTAAAACGTGTATAACTGCGCCCTGTACAGATGAACCCAGAATTACTTTATACAAAGGAGATATTATTTTAGTGACGAGATGGAAAAAGTAAGTATTCGAATGTCTCGAATTTCAGTCGATATTTTCTAGGGTTGAACACAGAAAACATGGTCAACTTTGTGCAAGTTTGCCACCAACTCAATGGTGATGCTACGCCACTGATCGAGAACTTATTAATGGAGTAACCTTTAAGGTCTGCAGGTGCTTGCATTCAACCAGGCTTGGATGATGCTGTAGTGACACATTGAACTGTCATTATGATTGGACGATAGTTGCACACACATCTTTCACATAATAACAAATATGGAATATGGTTTCTATGGCAATATGTATCATTAGCACTTGCAAGTCGTACATGTAGTAACAAAGCACTGTGATACCACAAGATTTTTCCTCTATTTTGTATATTTACGGTTCTAATTTTCTAATGGCAAAGTTCTGAAAATTTTTACAAAAAAAAAAACGCACATGATAGCACTATGAGAAACTTTTATTGGCAGCTGCCGAAAATCATGTCATTCATTACAAAGCTTCATAAAAACAAAAGAATTTCTATTTTCAACATTAGTGGTGCAATTTATCTTCGTTTTTTTTTTTTCAAGGTATTGGTTATATGGTGACAAAATTATTATGGAGAATGCAGATGGCAAACAAAGAGTACGCGGATGGTTTCCACGGCGATGTGCTAAAGAGATGTTTAATAATGGGATGGATTTGACAGTGGGTGGTAAAAAGGAATTATAACAATTTTTGAAACATAGGAATGTTTTTCTTTTTTACCATCACCCTAGTATTTTAAAATATGTATTATATTCTCAAATTACTTGGATTTCCATTTTTTAAAGTTTGTCTTTTTTCGTTCTTGTTTCCTTGGCTCTTAACAAATCTCATTTCCATGGTAAGCTGTATTTTAGTTAAAGGGCGGTAGTCGTCACGCCAGGCATGCACGAGATATACGTCTCATAAAAACAAAGATGGCGATTTTGACTGTTGAGCGGATCAATGAGTACAAACTGAGACGTTACCAAGCTTTAATTAGGTATTTTTTTAGGTGATTGGAGGTATCGACGGAGTCGTCAGTGGTAATTAATGCAAGTCGCACCCAGGTCAAACCACGTACTTGGGATTTCCATTGGAAGAGCGCATTGGATTGGAAGAAACTGACAATGTTTATCAACACAATTGTTGCACATGCGCAGCGTGTCGACTACTGTCTTTTAAGTGTTGTTTTTTTCTTCACGTGCTACTTTCCATTTATTCAAGTCACTAATAGTATTGATTGAGTTTCTCATCAAGACTCTGTAAAATGCCGATTTTGAGAACAGGTAACAATTAAAGTGGTGCTTATATAACTTTTGTTTCTGAGGTCTTTATGTTCAGAAAACAGAAAGTGTTCATGGCGAGTGTGCAGATTTACCACTCTTTTTAGAATTGATTTTTTTCCCCCAACACATCTTTTTTTTTTGTAATGAAAAATTACAAAAAACAGTTTCGACAGAAGTTATATGAACTGCATAGAAAAATAGACCACCAGTATTAAAGTAGATTGGTGTATTTTGGAAGATTTAAAAGTGTAATTCTTTCAGTTGTGAGTAGCTGTTAAGTAACTTACAAGTTTTCATCAATTTGGTGGAATCTGGAAAAAACGCAATTTGTATATTATTCAGTTTATTTTGTAGTATGTCATTTATAAGACGAGCGTTGGCTAATTTCTCATTTGGTCTGGAACATAGCTGGTACACTAAGTTTACAATTGTAAATGTCTTTGTCCTTGTGGAAATAAAAATTTCCAATTTTGAGGGGAGATTATCTTCATGTAGGAAAGGACATGTCGACAAATCAGTTGTCAATGTTTTCGAGTAAATTGCATGACTGGCATATCTTGTCAAAATATTTTAACGATCAAGTCAACAAACATCAGTTACATCAACTGGCTATGCTTTGAAATCCTAACTGGGGTCGCTTTGTGACAAATCCTTAGGAAAGGATTCAACTACACCTGTTCAACTCCAGGAAAGCTCATGCCATCATAATAAGGAAGATGGGCACACCACCCTCAATAAATATCAATCAGAAAAAAAAGTGTACTGCAAGTAGGTATCAATTATAAGCTGTCAACATAAAGGCGGCCATATTGAACTGTCTGAGAAAGTTAATTTTTAAATCTAGCATAAAGTTTTAACAAATGTGTGGAAACCATTTACAAATAGTTATACATAGAACCAGACATTCACAAAATGTTTCATTTATTAAAATAACAAAATATAAAGTTTTAACAATGAACTACTTAAATTGTCTCCCTTCCACCACCTGTGTTTGTATACACAAAAAAAGTTGTGAAACTACAATGCTGGTGTGGGGCATGATCGCATAACAATTTCCTAATTTATTAAAACAGTCCAAATAAACCTTACGAAAGCTGGAGCTACCAGCTTGCATTTCAAGCAGTCGAGCTGAAAATGATTGAGTTTCTCATCCAAAATTCTGATGTACATTCTTAAACGGTTGTACATAGTATGAAACCTAATTTGTGTCATGCCTTGGTGGAAGCGGTTCTTTATGAAATGTCAGTATTTCCTGCACATTATAAAAGTAGCATTTTGGTCTCTTGCTAACCATGTTTAACACATTCGGTTGCAATATTCTCCGAATCTAACAATGATAGTGAATCCTTCCATTAAAAAAAAATGTTTCAGTCAAAAAAAAACGGGTGATGGAAGGATTATGGTATATAGAATGCTCCTGTTATGCAGAGCTAAAAATGTTCAAACTATCAACAACAAAATATAAACACTTAATTGAGAACTGCTGGGAAGTCTGTGAAATAAGTTAAAAATGAAGGCAAGTGAAATACAACTTTGTATTAGGTACTACATGTCACACAACCTACTATGTTAGCATACTTTCCACAAAGTGGAAATGGGCAAACATGTCCACTTTCGCTGTTCTACATCAACTGAATTTGCACAAACTAAGAATTTTCTTCTATCATACCAGCATCTTCCCAAAGATCATTTGCAGATTTCCAGACATGTAATTTTTCAAATTGTAAGATCATATACAATTGGGCCGATAGACAATTTGTTCCTAAAATTTAACTGTCGTAATAAACACTTTCCCCAAGATCTATACACCACTCCATGCCTAGATATGATGCTAGTAATATCTCATTACATATTCAGATTTATGCAAACAGCACACACTATAGGATATCAAATACAGCTTCAAGACCATAGGCCAGGAATTTTTTACATCATGCAGTCTACTTGGTGGCAATGGCGAGATATTACAACATTGTAGCCAGGCATTAGAGAAGTATAGATTCTAGGTAGTAATCTATTAAGAAAAGATCTTTTTTTTTTTTTTTTAAGTGTCCTCACTCACTTCCTGTGATCTGAGTCCTCGAAGAGACTTGAAAATGAACATGGAAGTTTTCAGATTTAGGAATATATGCATTACTCCCTAATGTCTATAATACAGTAAAAGCTGCAAGTTGTAAACCTGTCAAATTGAAATCCTCTTCTCGTAGACTTGCATGGCTATATATATAATTTTCAACATGATTAGTGGAAATTTTGAAAACATGATTAATTCACAACTATTGAAGAATTTTTTATGAAAACAGCAGTTTAACACTTAGCTAAAGAACAATAAAGTGGCTCTTGAAACAAACAAACAAGAATAAATGAAATAAAAACTTAGTATTGCATCAAAAAAGTCTAATCACTTTCCTACTGCATAGAAAGTAGCCAGTTAGATGATTGCAAACTGTCA